AAACAAACATTTTTTTATCAGAATATTACAATACACAATTAATAATAAAACTATATGAATAGACGCAAATTAACAATTAAAGATGGTCTCCTGTGTATTTATCTTTGTCTGATTGATTGTGTTCTGGTTGGGTGATACTGACAATTTATCTCTAAATAGTTACTATTTGTTAGTATTTAGTTTTGTTTTTATTTCATGGTTTTCCTGTGTTTGCTCTAGTTAAGAATGCAAGCAATTAAGCTAAGAATTGCCATTTGTTACGCTGCTAACAGGAAGTTTAACATTTCAATCTTGGAATGCACTATGCAGAATACAGTATTCAATGTTTTTTAAATTGGTTGTATGGCTATTTCAGAAAAGGTTGTCGGAGAGAAGGCTATCTGTTTTGAAATAGCTATATAAAAAAGTACGCAAAAACCATTCAGTTGTAACTTATTCGAGAGATCCATACCTCCATGGAAGTGTCGTAGGTAGGGAACGTGCGCAACTGTTCTTGTTTAGAAAAAAACTTCTTATATCGCCTTGTTACCATGGTGAACAAATCCATTTCATCAGCATGGGTGTTGACTTGATTAATTTCCTAAAAAATCCATCAGTTAAGTGAAAAAATTTTGTAATTAAGCATTAGAAGATATTTTTGGTGTTTCCATCCTCTGTGAGAAACATGCGGTCTTGTTAACAGAATGGGACATTAACTTCCATTAAGTATTTTTTCGCATATAACCCATTTTTTCCCGGACGCACGCTCTTTAAAAGACTCTTGAAAAAAGTCACTTGACTGGTTTATCTTTTGCGGGCCGCACAAACCGGTATCTGCCCCGCTCACACGCTTCAAATGGAAACCTTCGCGCGCTTTCGATGTTCTTGCTTTTTAATGGTGTTTATGACACAGTTGTGTAAAAAGATAAATTGAACTCCGTAAAAAAGTAGGTGAAGTAACTTTCTGACGTTTCGGACGTTAATCCTTCGTCGGAGTAAAAGGTGTTTATGACAATTTACTTTGAATGTTTTAATTGAGTCAGAATATTTATTGACAGAGATTGGTCMGGCCGTACAGCAAAATATTTGTCTATCGGACATTTGAACGGACCTCGTACTGTTTTAACGGTGTATGTCAATTTCTGGACTATTTCTGATTGGGMCAGAATGYTTATTGACTCAGTTTGTTCAGGCCGTATAAATTGAAATATTTGTACAGTCAATAAGTACATAAAATATCTTATTGGAATTCAAATTCAATGTGTAGGAACAAGGCATGAGTTTTGCAGACTCCTGATACGTAAGGATTTAACACCGTAAAAAAGGCTTCCTAAATGGATGTGCTACTTAAAAGAGATTTTCGTATATGGGAATGAGCAAGTGAGTTCAGTCGGTGAAGCAGCCAGTCCATCACCTKAATGGTCCTGCTTCYATTCACGGACCGAGCACTAGATCTCGAGCAATGCTTCTGTCTTTAGTTTATAGAGTTCAATTATATTGCTGTCTAATACATTCAATGTGTTTGACTAACCATATCGATAGAATAACATGACATCAAAAATTGTAGTAGAGGCTTTATTTTGTCGAAAAGCGTCTGATGAATTGGAAGAGTCAAATGAATCTCATTGGATGCTAAGCCACCTCCAGAAGCAGCTGCCGCAGCAGCAACCGATGGGTTTGACGGAGATACCAAGTGATACGGTGACAGACTTAGTGGTGGAGGGGGTGGTAAACTTGCGTCAGGTTCTGGTGTTGGTCGAAGGACGTGCAAGTGTGCGGCAATGGACACTTGACTTAGAATACGCTTGAGGTTTCCTCGCGCTCTGTTGTTAGATGGCCCTGTCTGTTTGACTTCGTCAGTTTCTATTTTTTCTTCTTTTTCTGTTTCTTGGTGTTTGAAAGCTTTTTTGTGGACACATGGAAGCCATTCAATTACCTGGGAAAATATACTGATAATAAATGCACTGGAGGTTGCTAAATTTCGAGCCTGCGAGTCGTAGAGTCTGCGAGACGCGAAGTCTATTTTGCAAGCCTTTACGTCGAATTMCATTTTTGATACTCCGAAATCGAGAATAATTTTTTTATCTTTGTTTATTTATTATTATTAATATTTTCATTTTTGGCGTAGCTTTAAAAGCAATAGAAGTAGAAGTATTAAAATCTTGCTTTGGAGTCAAAGTTAAGTTTACYCGTAGTATCGGTGACCAACGAATTCTTATAAAATATAAGACGGACGTTCCGTGCGAATGCGAATCAAATAAAAAATTCCCATTGTCGAGATAATTTAGAAGAACATCTAAGAAGATGGCTAATGAGTACAGTGTATGCAAAAAACACTCATAAATAGTTGGTTTGTCASCTGGGGCATGATGCAGCCGCAGAAAATATAATATTTTCCATGAAAATAACGGTTTCTCTTGATTACCTTCGCAAAAGGTTCCTTGTCCTYCATTGTGAATAATTCATGGAYCGTGATASTTGGATTRGGCGGCACTGAAAATTACGTTTGGGCGCGAATGAAAAAGGCTTGGGGCTCTGGCTCACAGACTCACAATTTATATAAAAGAAATAAAAAATAGTAGCACCATATAGCCATGGTAATGAAATGATATTTAGAAAATTCTGGACAAAAATGTGTCGTAATGAGTTTATGCTCTTTGATTTGGAATAATAAGCATAATTTAACACCAGTACAGAAAGCGCGAGTTCACGCAGGTATTCGTCTAGCATTCAAATAATTCAGACTGCATAGTAACGTAAACCGTTACTATCATCACATACCCTTAAAAATGAATTTATCCTTTTGACAGARTGCATGTGACAAACAAGCCATCTTGTGTAGATCAAAAGGTCGTCTAGATTCACTGAGTCCATAGCAGAAGTACTGTTAGCCAAGGCTGCTTCTCTAGCAATAGCAAGTCGTCTTGACCTGTACACTGCATCATGGTATTCCTCCATGATATGACTATAATACATGTCAACAAGCAAATGTGATTACATTGAGGTTATGACATTGTATATGATCCAAATAAAACGTATTACATGTATTATATATAAAACAAACAAACAATTAAAAAATTAATAATTATTGTAAGAAAATCTATAATATATATCTAGAGTAGCTTACTTAGTATACTACTCATTAAGTTGTAAATAAATAATAATTTATATTATATTATATTGAAATACATTTTTCGACATTAACAAGTATAATGTTTGTATATCACGAAATTGTAATTTTTAAAATATTTATATCACATCTTTGCCTTTCATGTGTTTTTATTTCATGATTTTTGATCACTCATTTTTAAGAAAAATTTCCACACTTTTTGATGTATACCTCATATCAGTCATATCTACTTATATATGTCCATACATAWAATACTGAGTAGCTCAGTATTTTATGTMTAAATTGCTCCTTTAAGTTGAGCACTATGAAAAATTATTCTTCAATATTAAGTTTGTGTACTTATATATGTCTATATGAAAAATTCGTTTTTATACAATTRATATTTCAATCAATGTAATCTGATTTACACTTATGATTGTTCAAATTATTTTATAATTAAAGTGTCTAGGCCGAAGGTTATAAAATGCAGCGACTTTATTTCTATTTTTCAACGTTGCAGTTTAGCAATCCCAAGGGACCCATAAATTCAAGGTTCCCAGGTTTGATCCTCGACTCGAGCACGTCTGAAAAATTCTTTCTTGTTTTCTTTCTTTTTTTTAACTGAAAAGTAGTTGTTCTATAGTCATATTAGACTTTATCGTAGCAATTTGTTTTATTAATATTTACGAGCCGTTTTTTAAATTTTAGAAACAAGATGATACTCGAACAGGGGGCGTCGAACAGAGGATTGTGGGTTCGAATCTTGTCTTGAGCACTTTTTTTTTCTTTTTTCTTTCACTTTAAATGAAATATAGTTGTTATAGTCAGATTTTTGTCTGTAAATATTTGTTTAATTGTTATTTTCGAGCCATTATTTTGATTTTGCACAGAATACTCGAATAGCGTCGAACTTAGGATCGCGGGCTCGATTCTCGACTCGATCGTTTTTAAACATGAATTCTTTTTTTCTTTCCTTCTTTTTTTTTTACTAAAATATACTTATTCTGGTCAGGTTTATTTTTCCTGTAGATATTTGTTTTATTATTATTTTACATGCAATGTCAWATTTGAATTGCGCCGTTGAATTGACGATCGCGGGTTCGATTCTCGACTTGAGCTTATTCTAAACAATTCTTTTGTTTTTCTTTCTTTCCAGTTTTTTAAACTTTAAAATATACTCTTTCTTTTTTTTCTTTCGAAAATGCGAATCGACCTTTCATCTTATAAATTCTCTGAGTATAATGCGAATGCAATCCGAATGCTAATTTTGCGCTGCAATGATAGAAATATTCAAAAGTAATGATGTTAAAAGATATAAGCAGAATCTATCAAATCAACCAGCATATTCTATACACTTTACGTAACCTGGCCACGCCGTGTTCCACGAAGTGGATCTTGTTTTAGCAATATTATCTTATAACTTTAGCAATACTTGTAAATAGAACACGTCATGCTAGTAAACTTTATCTATCTGTCTATATTACTTTTTGACATGTTGATGCATCTTGAAGTTTTTGAGTTAAACTAGACGCATAGCTGCGTGAACTCGGGGTTCTTGTTGATAAAAATCTAGTAGTGAATCCGCAATATAAAGCAATATTTTTTTAAATAGAGCTAAGTGTATTTGGCCACGTTAAATAAAGTTTATCTTATCTTATCTTTATCATGTATACGTTCGAATTTTCTTTGGTAAGTCTCGTTCATACTTACGAATTATGCAGTACATCAAAATACGGCTAAGAGAAACCCCTACTTTGCAT